AACATTCGACATTTCCCGAATTTTGAGCATTTTGGGAATAAATGAGCACATGTTTTGCATTCTTACCCAGAAAAGAAGGCTCTGAGGAATATTTCTACTTCAGTTAGTCACTTCTGCTCCATGAGTTTCTGGGATTTGCAGTTTCCGTCTTGAATATTTTTCCGATTTTTCACCTTATGCCATCGTTTGCTAAGAATTCGGACACAGGTACTTCCTGTTTCACATTAGGACCGAATGACAACAAATTGCTAGCAATTTTCGACACAATCACACCTGCTTTACAGCATATGGATAACGCGCGCAACCCTTGTTAGAAGTCTGTAAGCTGAAAGTAACTCATGTATTCTGAACCTTTTATGCATCAAGGGGAACTTTTCCAAGGGTATCCTACACTACCAAGGAATCTTGAGAGATGAAGATAAGCATTTTTCCCTGACGACAACCATTGGATAGTAAAGGTTCTTGCCTCATAATAGTTGTCTAAATTTAGCTTCCCTTAATATGAGAGGCAAGCGAAATTTATTCCTGCGTCACTTTGCAGCATGTTTTGCAATTCGCATCCATCTTTCGACCAATAAGTTTGTAAACAAAAGTAGATCTTCCATTGCGCGCATGGTTCAGTTTCTACATTTTTTGCTAGAAACGATTATGCTTTTCTTACTATGTATAGTTTAAATTTGAACCTAACCTAACCTATGTTATCTCGTCATTCAAAAAGAGTCACTTTTAAGTATCCAAGGCTAATAGAAACGGTTACTTCTTTCAGAGTTTAAGCAAATGAACACTAAACAATTTATCCGCCAACGGTAAATGTTTTACTTATCTCATTCTTCAGTTAGCACATTCCCACTCTTCTCTAGCCTTAACTACACTGCGGTTTTAGAATGTCCTGCCAAGGACGGTGTGTCTGACTTATGTAGGTGGATAGACGATGCGCAACATGCGTCGCTACACAGACACTTGACAAATCAAGCAGGAATAAGTTTGCTAGAAAATGGGATAAGTGCTGGTGTAAAATTGTGAAACTGTCAAAGAATCCGAAGATACAACGGAAATCGTGTTTCGCCTTTATAATCTGAAGAGGTCACAGAGTTGTTAACTCCGAAAGTTGTTTCGTTAGAGGTGGATTTTTTCTTAGTACAAGCTTAAATACTTTTACATTAGCGGTTTCGTTTCCAAAAGCATGAAATCATTCCAGGGAATTGTCCTCTTAGATACTGGACGACCTATCGCAAAAATGGACCCTATTTCTTGATCCTTACGTAAACGTACGATTTTACCTCTGCAAGTTTGGTAGATGTGATGGCGCATATCCATAATATTATGGCCACTTTGCTCGCGCAAATCGTGGTGGAATTAAAGCCAAGGCTTCATAAAGCGTTCATCAGTCGTTAGCTGTTATAGAATAAGCAGTATGATGACTTCTTTGTTCCGTAAGATGGCTGTTCATTCTGCTTGTGAAGCCATGATTTGTATTTTACATTGCTCAGTAAATAGATGCGGTCAAATCTGCTAATTTTCCACAGGTTACAATAACAGACTTATGAGCAAATCCTAATAATTAAGCGGAAATTGTCCAAGAACTCTAGAAGTTTACTACACTGAACACTGCGTTAACTTGAGCAAAATCAGATTTGTGGGGCTTACAGTAGACCGTTTCTAGCTCTAGTGAGCGGATCTTTCAAACGGGATCGCTCTCCTCACTTGCACCCATTGACAATTGGAGATTCTTCTAGGCATGACTGTCCCCTTCTTGTAAATCAAATTTTTTGTTGTGGGCTAAATATGAGCAGATTTCAAACGTTATAACAGTGTAAGATCCCTTTTTGGTGTGATTTTTCGAGAAGAGTTGTCATTAGTGTGGGAATATTTCCAAACTCGGCCGTTTTGAGCTAAATGGCTTATATTTATCTCAAGCGATTCTGTCTGATTAACAATTGTATTTTTAAGTCTAGAGTCAAAGCATGAGCTCTCATTCGATGATGGTTACACTGACCATTTTACTTTCTCATTGTACTAAAAGCTTCCTCAATTGCACTACCCTCTATTCATTTTGCCTGGTCTTTCTGATGCAGCAAATGTGACTGAACATCTTCCATTTTTGATGCTTAGATGAATAGGAAGTTTCTGAGACTGCCATCAAAATTGGTATTTTGAAAACATGCCAAATTATGGCTTCCCCAGAATTTTAGACAACAATTATAGTCTTTAGTGAAAATAAGAGAAGTTCAAGTTATCGATAATGTAAGTCTGTTCTTTTTGATAAGTGCTTTGGCTACGAAATCTACGAGGTTTGCCTGCAAAACCGAAAACTCACATGCCTTAATGACAATGTCTGCGCCGCAATTATTTGCATTAAGACACCAATTATTTAAAAATCCAGATTTATCAGTACTTATTTATGTAGCATTCGGCCACCTTTTAGCTCCAATCTAGCAGAAATAGCGAAAAACGCTATCAGATGACGTATCATACGATAACTTTCACGTGAGCCATGGTACTTGTGTGGAAAAGTTCATGGCTGCTCCTTCGTAAACGCAGTATATTTTAGAAGATTCCTAGGATTAGTGTGGTAAACGAAGTGGGCTAAAAAAGAACTTTCGGCTTTCATTGAAGGCGCGGCCTCGTAATTTCCATCCATGTTTTAGGACCTTAGGTGATGAGGTATATGTTATCTGCGTGCAATCCACTAGCATAGAATCTAGCCAAGAACCGGCTTTTTCTTTTGATCAGATCTACAAGGATATGTATGACCACTTTTTTGATATTTTGAGCAAATTGATGCTCTGTGCCTATGATCCTCATTAAGTAGCTCTAAATATATGGAGAGGGTCGGCTTTGCTAGAATCAATGGTAGAATAGACTGTTTTGACTGTGGTAACTGGATGAGCATTGACGACTTTTTCACCTATAATAAGGCGCTGACTTTGTTGATCTTGATAATCTCCCGAAGACTGACGATAGAATGGTCGGCAATGTTCTTTCTCGTGCTGCTAAGTCTTCTATGCATATCAATATTATCGCTGAATTGGAGAAAAGCAATGTAACAGGCCGCTTACATTTTATTCATATTACTTTTTATTGATGAAATCGCTTTGGTGGCGCAATCTTAGACGTATGCAAAAATAAATGAAGACGTTTTTTATTTAGTGGTAACAGCGTTGTATTTTTGAGGGATTCTGTACCTGCACAAAATAGCTGCCTTCCTACGGGGCTTTGTCAATAGCGCTGCATGTGGGCTTGTTGGATTTTTCCGAGGCAGAAACTCAATTAAATAGGCGCTTGATGCGCTGCTGTCACAGACATGATAGAATCATGCAAATTGCAACTTTTAACACAAACGGCTTCCAATAAGTGATTTGCGGTATTACTATTGCCATTGGTTTTTAACTAATCGCATTATCCTTATTGAGCAGATGAGTAGATGATGCATCAAGTCATCATTTGGCGATTCCAATGCAATTTAAAGTTTCCTTGTGGGCACTAATTTGGAGACACTTCTAATGAAAGCCACCGGAACAAATAACATCTCAATCACTAACAGTATGCATATTTTGACAGAATGTGTTGCTAATAGTTTGAGTGTCTCTTACCTCCGCTTCCTAATTAAAGGCCTCGCTGAAAACATGGTCCAGATACTGCTGTATTAACGCAAAAAATCCAATTCGTAACTAAAGCACAGCTTTGATAGAGCGCTGGATCCTAACGTGGACGGCGGTCCATGCTTACTGCGAAATTCTTACGCAGGTGCTTCCTAAAACTAGAATACAAATGGAAACTGATACCTTTTTTCGTAGGGCTCAAGGATTGCTTTAGAGACGAAGAATGGCCCTCGCAAGCCAATGCGTGCTTGTAAAGGACGACGCTCGTGGTCATTTAAGATAAGCGGGACTAATGTTGGAAAAATGGGCGTTCCTGGTGTCGAATGGAATGTCGATAAGATTGATTTGGTGTTATTCAAAAAGTAGCTATGACATTGAAAAATCACTATTCTATTTCATTTAGCACTTGCAAACAGTGACAGATCCGTGGATAGCTAATTTAAGTAGGCTCGTAGCAAAATGGAAGAAGATACATTTGTGGTGATGCATGCGCGATTTCTGCTCCATAGGCCTGATACGGAGAAACTTTAAAACTAGTCAACCCTGAAAAACAACAACTTTCATGCTCTAAACGTATGGGGCATTTCAGCCCAAATTTGCTTTACTTACCCGCCTTACGAAAAGGTTGTGTGCTTATCTACGAAGGCATTTTCTTGGCTGTTTTCTTCTGCCACGGAGCAGTGGCATTTGTTCACAGTTTTTGGTACTTGATTTCCAAGTTTTTGGTCGCATTTTGAGTGCTGAATGAGGCCTCTGCTCGCGCCAACGGCTTTCCTACACCCTAAGAACTTACATCGAAAAGATCAAATCATTTTTTACTATTTAACTTGCGATAATACCTTACGTTAAAGCTGTTAATTCTGAATATACGTTATAAAAGTCATTTTGTGCAGCATTTTAGTTACCACCTCACCACAGTTGTATTTTCTATAACTGAAAATTGTCTCGGCTGCTCAAATTTGCAAAGACCTGCTAAAAGTTGTGTTTACAACTTCAAATGAGTGGTGCCGCGCGCACTTCCCTCCAATATTTCTTGATATTGTGCTTAATACCTATTTTGGCTCTTCTAGCTTTGTAGTAGTCACGCTTGGCCATTATAAAAGTAGCATTCATTCATTTCCTTTTGCGTAGTCTCAGTTTGTCACACATCCCCATGCACTCCAGTTTATTTTAACTTTATGACTGGCAGTTAAACGGTTTCAAAGTTAAAAAAATGACGTTTAACTAACCACTACTAAGTAGTACGGAACAAAGTGGGAATGTACTGTTCTTTGCTTCAAGAAATCGAGAACTATTATTAATCATTTTATTAATTTCGCTTAATGTATCAAACAATCGTGACATTAAAATAGCGCGTTTTATTGCTTTTGAAGCATACGGAGCGTGATGATGAAATATATGGAAAAACGAGGAGATTTGACATTTGACAAGATATTTAACCAACGATTGGGGTACTTGATCTTCAAAGACTACTGCCTTAACTATCATGAAGAACCGGTTCCTCAAATCCGCTTCTATGAGGAGATCAAGAAATTGGAAAGCCTGGAAACCGATGAAGAGCGGATCACACTTGGCAAAGAAATCTACGATCAATTCATTATGAAAGATCTGCTCTCCCAATCTCACGTAAGCGGTCAGAACGTGCTATCACCGTCATTCCATCTTGCATCCACTTTTGGCTATGGAACAAGCCTTAATTTGGCAGCCAGGAATCTTGGATTTAAGAACGTCATTTTCTGTTTTCACTTTTTTTAGCTCTACACTTGCCTCATCAGTATGCGAGATGAAGTTGAAATAGAAATGGCAGAATGTTGAGCCTCTAAAAGTTTTATTATTTCTCATCCGATTTACCTATGTCTAAGGACTAAATTCGTAATTACAAATAACATACTCTTAATATTTTAATATGCATATCTGTGGTTTACATTAAAGAAAGTAAGTCATGTGACCAGAATCATTATCAGTTGTCCGCTGCTCTGGCATTCACCACTAGCTGCTGCCATTTTATTTTTGTTCGCACACCCGAGCTACTGATTGCTTTTTCAAAAAACGGTTCTGTGAAGATCAAACAACACAGCAATAAAAACGTTCGTCCTAGGGCATTCTGTCTGACGCAAGTAATGCACTGCTAAAAGGAACCGGAGTGATTGTGGGGAAAGTATTTTGAAGGGTCAAAAGCATGTGCTACGATTTAATGCACCTGGGAATCGAAATAGTCCTGCATTATTGCTCGCACCATAAGTGTACTGAATCAAGTAAAAAACTAATTGGGCTACGGAAATAGCTTGGGATAAGCATCGAGTGAAAATCAGGGTCAAATCCAAACCTTTTAGGTTTTAAGTCTGTTAACAGTTATTAATTATCTCTTTTCTTAAAGTCTGCTTCTTTTAGTAATTTGGTTGATGTAAAGAAACCTGTTAATGCTTCCGTTAACAATGTGGAACATTTTAAAAGTCAGCCATTATTGCTGATCATGGATTCTGTTTTCATTTTTTTTAATTTCAAGCATGGCCTGTTTACCGTAGCTGTTTTAACGAGGAAGATCCCCTTTTGAGAGAATGAGGGGGTGGAATTTAGTATTAGTCGATCTTGCCTCAGAGAGATTAGCAGTTTTGG